AGAGCCTTTTCTGTTCTCCACAATGTTATGATAATCCGACATTGAAGCGCTATTAAAACATAGCAAAAAATGGTACATGGTCCAAACTCGAAGAGATAGAACAATATTTACAAAGAGAACTAGATGGTCTGAAATACTGACCCTGCGAGTGGTACTGTAGCACACAAGTGTTGTCTGAAGTCCAGGAATCATCATCCAATCCATCTTAAACAGGATGAATCAATGTCTGGTGCTAATAGAACAACAATTTTAGGGCACTTTTATGTTCAAAGAGGAGACACGCGCCATAACTACCATCATCCATTTACACCCCAGAGCATTTATCTTATTAGGAAATTGAGATCAAAGAGGATGAGGCAAAGACTGGAGGAAGTGAATATGAAAAGTTATGGATAAGACATTTAATGAAGGAGGAAATAAGGATGAAGTCTAATAGGTTGCAACCAACCGTTCACGCGTTCTACGCTCCGATCTGGCTGTCTCAGCGGCATCCAGCGCCATCTTCTCCTCTGGACTCAGCGAATGGTACGGCTTAAAGCGGTTCTTGTTAGCACGACGTCGACGAGTCTTCCGTCGCTTCTTCTCCATCTCGACATCGCCATCTGAGACGGACCTCTCGTGTTCGTCCGGATTCGCGCGGACTGAAGGCAGCTCTTTCGATGCCATCTCCGAGTGTAATCACCTCGATGAGGGCTTTCGAATGAGTACCTACTCAAATAGAGCTGAATAAGCGTGACCTCCGTAGATCACGACGCGTACACCTCAGAAGACACTCGCAGCTGATCCGCGGCACCACACGTCGCAGTGCGGTCACACAACTAGAAAGCCGACCGCACCGCCTCCCCCTTATATACGAAAGCGCGACCGCACGCGCGGATGACCGACACGCCCCGCCATTGGGGCTGTGCCGAGAGGGAGCGCGCCACAGGGGATTTACGATTATTTCTGGAAAGCTGGACATTTTTTGAGAACGTAAGATGGCAGATTTAGTTGGACTCACCTAGTTCTAAGCAAAGACACTAAAAATGTCGGTTTTTCTCCATGTCAGTTTCCGCTCCCGAAATCTCTTCCCAACGCAGTACATGCTGCCAGTCCTATCACACTTTTCCCCTGTACTCAAAATGGGTCCTTCACTTATTTGGCAGGCCCGGCGTCGAACCCTGGTCAATATGAGGTAGAGAGAGAG